ATTTATATCGGAGCAATGTTAATTTGAAAAAAGCTATTCCATAATCCCTGCTTTTATCCTACCTATTTATATAAAATTATATAAATTTATATATAATTATATAAAAAATATTTTATATACAATTATAATAATTATACATAAAATATGTCTGTTTATATAACTTTTTTTTTCCACGTACTCATTTTATAGATAGCATTAACGCAAAAAACTTCTCGCTACGAACAGTTTTAAATTGTACAACAAATCTAAGACATACTTTTCATTTCTTCGTTATCATTTTCATACGTGCCAAAGAAAGAGAGAGAGAGGGGAGGGAGATAATTAAATAATTAAACATTAATTCTTTCTAGCCCTTTTTTTCTTTACGTGCCCCTTCATCAAGAGAATCTGCAAAAAGTTTTATTGGTCAAAATATAACGGACTTTCTTTAATGTCCATATACATTTGACGCTGTTTACGCAAAGTACAATACATAGGTAGTTCATTCTCGTAAAACTCGAGAAACTTCATGAGATTACTTTCTAATTCTTGATGATAAGCCGAGCCAGCGTATCTAGATTCGATGTAATTTCGATCCTTTTTGGATATCTGCGCAAAGAATTTCGAACTTTTTCATTCACGTTGTTATCATTAATCAATGTTTGGTCCTTACTTTCGGAAGGATCATACATTTACGCGACAATGTTCTTCATAAACTCATAGGTAAAATTACTCACCGTTTTCCACTTTGATTTGATTAACGTGTGAATGCAATCATCGACCAAAGAATTGTCATAAATGTCCTGTATGTTGAGAAAATATGCTTGTAATAAGTATCGACATGCATATATGATATTGAAATGCAAGCGACCGTCTTACTGTTCGCGACAGCAAAGTAGCCCGATTTTCGACGCGCAGACAATCGAATCTATCATGAAGAATCACCGCGGCCCAAGGTTCGCGAAAATACGCGTAGAAATCTGAGACTTCTGAATTCTGAGGAAAAATTATTTTAAAAAGGCGAGACATTTACACGCGAAAGTATTAAGTGATAAACCCTGAAATATGTATGACATCGCTTTTTAGTAGTTCAATACTGTATCGTCAGTTAGGCGCTTACTCGAAAACGGAATTTCAATTCGTTTAACATGCTCTCATGTTTCCCATATAAAACAATCATGTCCTGCACTCGAAATGTCTGAAAAAACAATTGTCGTTACGCTGAGACGAAGTAGCGTCTGTTCCGAATCGCAAGACAAATATCGCGTGACACATAAAATTTTTCTAGAGCAATTGTTGAGTATTATTTGTCTAATTAGTTCCAGAACTACCTTTCTGCTTACGCAGGTTACACTTTCCACGGTGTCGTACATATTCAATCGAATGCGAAAATATCCAATTTCAGATTCGCAAGAACCGGTTACAAATACATTTTCCTGCATGAAAAAAAAAATCAACGTTAATGCAACGACTTACATCTTACACAGATTGAAGGAGAAAGAAAGAGAGAAAACCATAACAAAGAACCTTTTTAAATAACGTTATTTGCATTTCGATGCAAAAACCGATTTGACTGTTAACTCACGTAATGGTTGTGATTGAGCTTCGTCGTGTTATCCCACGTTGCTTTTCCGGGTTTACATACATGCAAGTAATGATAATCACCTGGCAAAATGCAAGCGGTTATGATAGGTGCACGGAATGTCAATGATGTCAAATGCATGATCTTCTCTTTCTTTTTTGATATTTGCTCGGGAACTTGCACATTCCACTCAATCACTTTCCATAAAATTTGAGCGAGCTTCCGATGCACGGCGGGGAATGGAAAGAAATACAAGTGTATTATGAATTTGATAATAAAAAGATAACTAGTTTAAAACAATATAGTTAAGAAGGCATACACCACGAACGCCAGATGAGAATGGCTTGAAAA